TTTTTTTTTTTTTTTTTTTTGAAACTGGAATCCACGCTCGTGGAGGCACATTCCTGTCAAATTACCGCCTATTCAAGAAACATCGTGGTGGCTTCGTGGTCGTGTCTCGAAATCGAGACTATGGGGCCCGCGAAGTTCCTCGTAGTAGCCCTGAGGATGTTCCCATGAGTCGGGGGCGGCCACCAGTGGTTTGGTAGGGTCGAAGGTATTCCTGATGCCCTGGGGCAACACGGCGTTCAGGAACGATGCGTGCAACCGCGTGGGTTCCGAACTACAGACGCGTTATTATACGGAGAACCCTTAATAACCATCAGGCCAGAACGTAGAGGCCATTCGATTAAGCACGTTTTGTCCAGATCCGCCATCTTTCTTATTTCGTACGATAATATGAAATTTTACCAATTATCATCGAGTATATTTTTTTAACCGATATTTCCTATCTTCGTTCCCGTACCCGTCACTTTGATCCGCAGTGACGTCACGCAATGACAAATACACCAGGAGTCATCAGCATGTACGTTACGCCTGTCCTTTTCTTTGTTAATCCATCGATCCTTCACCCATCACGTTTTCGTATGCTTTTACGAATATTGCGCGAAGAACTTACGAACGCGTGAATCAGGCTACAATGAGGGACAGGAGGATACGCCGTTATGGGCACCGTCCTGGCGTTGTATAACCAGCGCAGAGAACGTGTACCCAAAAAATGAATATACATATACAGTACATGTATATAAAGTTAGTATATTTAATATAGAAAATTTTTTTGGGGAATTTTTGATAAAATTTTTTCATTAATTAAATGAAGCAATTTCAGGTTAAGATTGAGAACCAGAAGTGACTTCTGCTTTAATCGAACTCTTGTCAATGTTAAACCTTTATCTATAATGAGCGTGCCAATCGCACCTACAGTACCTGACGCTAATGACTAATTAGCTTGTCGATATCCAAATGCGAAAAGTGGAAACAAGACGTCAACACGTATCGTCCATTTTTGTTATCGTCCAGCCGGCAGAAATTGTCTGGTATGTAAATTGGACAGCACACGACAACGTCTCGTCGATGGAACTCTGCGTCTAACATCCTGTGAATTTTGGTATCAGGCTAGCATAGGAACAAAGGACCGAGTGGTATGATCCATAGGGAGAGAGGAGTATGCGCCACGGAATATACGGGGGGTACCTACGCCGGACGACGCCAAGAGACTGAGGACGCCGACGTCTCCTGGTTCCTGGACAGTAGGAAATCAGGATATCGTTCGTGGCTTTGTTATTGACGGAGACGAAGACAATTTTGCTCCAGACTTATATACGGGACGAAGGATGAGTGCAGTTGGTAATATCTCGAATCCGTACCAGGGGCGATCGGACCTGGTAAGATAGACCCGGATTATCATGCACGTGCATGTTGACAAAAGAAGTTTAGCTTGTAAAGCTGATTAAACCTTAGTTAATCACAACTGATCAGAAACGTATAAAGGCGCAGTAGGTCGTGCTTCGTCGGAGAATCGCTACTCGCTTGTATAAACTCCTGATATAACGCTGCCAGAGCGGGCGGTCCCGCGCGGCAAATATTTCTAGCCTAACCTCCTTGCTTATTTTGTTCCCCTGATTGTCTCGACATAGCAACTGAATTCAGTGCTGCAGTCCATGAATTCCTAAGATTCTACGGGTATACCTAACGGCCGCAGGTAACGCCTTGGCTTCCATCGAACTTTCTTAACGGACGGATTGCTCCTGGAATTTCAAGCTTTTTTCTCTTATATCTGAATTTCCCGCCACTCTATATCGCGTATAGATTTACACGGTACGGACTGAACAAAATCTAAAGGCATTACGCGACTGAGGTAAATGAAGGGGAAATAATAATAGAAAAAAAAAAAAAACATTTCGACAACCAACTTCTTTAGCAGTTTTTTGGTACGAGGTCAAAATCAGGTGGAACCAGTTCACCTTTTTTTTTTTTTCGTTCCGCATTATGAGATCGTGACGGAATTTTGAGAGTTCACCAAAGGTCATTCAGGTGGAATATTCTTGTCTACAGGTACTAGGTGGGTGAGATTCAAATTTGAGATATCCAGCGTCCCGACGCTTGGATCACCTTTACACTTACGCGTATGAAACTTCAACAGAGACTGGTTGGTCGCACGATAAAATTTGAG